ACGACCGCAGGGGGCGCCACGAGCGCGCCGGACGGCTGCGTCGTCTGCGGCATCCCGTTCTTCGTGTTTGTCACCGATGACAGCAGCGCCCTCTGCGGGGAGAACGTCGTCGTCGTCTGCCGCCGCGTCGCCGTGACGACGGAGCGCGCGCGCACGCTGCGCGCTGCCGTGCCCTCGGTCTCCGTCCGCGCTTCCGCCGCCGCGACGCCGACGGATTCTGCGGGCGTCTGTCAGGCGTGCTGGGATGCGGCGATGCAGGTGGAGAAGTGGGAGAGGGAGGTGAGGAAGCAGCGGGCGTGGCTGACGCAGAGACACGCCCACCGCGCCCACTACCCGCGCGCGTCCGTCACGCGCGGCGACGACGCACGGCTGCGCAGGCTGACGCGCGCCGCGAGGACGTACGTCACGACAATGTACGACCACTGACCGGGAGGTCGCTACCCCGCGCGTCCGTCCGCACGACGCACGGCTGCGCAGGCTGACGCGCGCCGCGAGGACGTACGTCACGACAATGTACGACCACTGACCGGGAGTCGCTACCCGCGCGCGTCCGTCACGCACGACGCACGGCTGCGCAGTGCTGACGNAGCCGCCTCCTCCGACCATCGCCACGCAGACGATCGTCGTCAAGAAGGAGGCTGGGATCGACGATGACGGAGGCAACCGCGTGAGAGTGCTGAAGCTTGGCTGGGTGGCGGCGGAGGAGGAGGGCGGGGCGGAGGAGGAGGGCGGGATGGAGGAGGAGGGCAGGGCGGAGGAGGAGGGCAGGGCGGAGGAGGAGAGAGGGACGGAGGAGGAGGGCAGGGCGTCGATTAAGCGCAAACCAGACGACGAGCTGCCGTCGCCTAGCAACGCCGACGACAACATGCCGTTGCCTACCGACGCCGACGACGATACACCAGAGGGAGCCGCGCGTCGCGACAGCTTTCGGCAGCTCGCCGCGACAGGCGACGTCGATTCGACGACCGCAGGGGGCGCCACGAGCGCGCCGGACGGCTGCGTCGTCTGCGGCATCCCGTTCTTCGTGTTTGTCACCGATGACACCAGCGCCCTCTGCGGGGAGAACGTCGTCGTCGTCTGCCGCCGCGTCGGCGTGACGACGGAGCGAGCGCGCACGCTGCGCGCTGCCGTGCCCTCGGTCTCCGTCCGCGCTTCCGCCGCCGACGCCGACGATTCTGCGGGCGTCTGCCAGGCGTGCTGGGATGCGGCGATGCAGGTGGAGAAGTGGGAGAGGGAGGTGAGGAAGCAGCGGGCGTGGCTGACGCAGAGACACGCCCACCGCGCCCACTACCCGCGCGCGTCCGTNAATTTTTTCGGCCCATTCAGGCCCTATGTTTTGGTAAAGAAGAATTAAAAAGAATACATATTCAGTCATTCATAAGTTGGAAATATGTTTATTTCACACACCTTAACCTCCGGTGAGATTGAAAGGTTTAGTTTATAATTGACTATATTTGTTATGGTCTCCATCTTTTAAGTTGGAATTGTGTGAAATAGATCTTTGCGTAATAATTTCTTGCTGCCTTTAGTGTGATTTTATCTATGAGTATCGTTTGTAAGCATTCTTTGTAGAGTGTCCGTGTAGGTAGTTGATAGAAACAATTTTTTTCTTGTATAACGATAGAGACAGTATCCAGTAGAAATCCCAGGTTTCTGCGTATCTGTTTTCTTGCGCGATACAGACACGATATGACATGTATGTAACTGTTGCGATGAACGCATGAATAGATTATTCAAGAGATGGTAGCAGGACCAACATCCGGAATTGAGGTTAAAGACATATTATCTAATTGTTGGTAATTTGCCCGAATCAACAGTTTTATTGAACTACCTCACTTTGATGGCTAGTCTCAATTAAGACTAACTAGTACAAATACAGAAAGGTGACGTACTAATCTTTATCATAATACCAGCTCGTCATTTGTGAGGACATTTATAATGTGGTCAAATAACGTATGGCTGGAGCAATTACACGTGTGGTTTACGTTATTATGGGATACAACTCATTGAGTAAAATTCAATTTAAAATATTTTAGTGGCTATATTTTTTCATGTTGCAGTAAGTCATGTTTAATCACCTACAGATGTAATACATGTTTTCCTGTTTTGTAGTTAAGTGAATAAGTATCCTACAGCAGCTGTTCAAATGTCGATATCCATAGTTGGTGTCATATATCTACTCCGATGAGGGTAGTTCCTACCATTCTAGTGTCAATTCCAAATCCATAAGATTTCACACTGGGCAATTAATTCTAGCTCGCGTATAATAAAATGTTAACCCTTATAGATGCTAAGCCCAACCCCACCAGCATCGCTTTCCTGAACTCGCAGCTATAAAAGTTGTAAGGTATGGTCTTAATTGTGTGACTAAGTCACTCATTTGGTTTCGGATACAGCGTATTACGTCTGTAATCGCGAGGGATATTCAGTATATCTCACTGTAAAGTTCTTTTGTCATGCCGGCAGTCTTTTCATGGGGAAAAATCGATACAATGCCAATAGTGTGGCAGTTTAAAAATGCAAAAATGTCTGACTGATATCGTACGAAAAGCGGTGCGAATAAACCAACATGAAGAATACAATTATATAAAAAAAGAAAAAAGTACTTGATCAACGGATACACCAGCTCCTTCGTTTTTACTGCATCCGCGGGCATAGGCCCAGGGTGGAACATAGCAGCGATGCTGATCATCTACGCAACATGCGCAACCTAGCCGTCCTATTCAATAGACAGTTATTCGCCGAAGGCGATGTGAAAATCTTCGTCGAATAATCCCGAGACGAAGCGAAGTGGATTATCGAAAAGAGCAACCGACCTGAGCGGCGAATAATTTTTAGTATCAATTGCCCGAGTTGATTATCGGATATAATACTTTTGGGACAAGCATTTTCCTTTAAATTTGTCAATTTCGGCTCACGTAACATTTACAAAACTAAGAGCCGGCAAGCGTCTGGGCTATCTAGTCTGTTGCTAACTATTATAAACTAAATTCAGTCGTACGTAGTACCACATTGTTAGCGCAGAATATGCGAACCGCGAGTTGCGTACACACATTGTTAAGGACACGCCCATATCGCACCAAGGAGGGCACCATAACATATTGAGTCAAAAAGTACAACACTTACTTTCGCACGTCATGGAAAGCACATTTTCATGTCCTTTCAATAAAGGCCATAAAAATAAGTAGTCCATCCCGCCTCCAACAAAAACGTTTCAATCGCTCGGTGGTCACACCATGTCCTCAGAAAATTCTAAATCTGCCCTGTGCCCCATTGACCTTGCACCTTGACCTCCAATTTCGCACAGTGATGGCTTTTCCTAACCATATCCTATACACCTGACTATCAACGAGCCTAGGTCGAGCCGATTAGATTTGCGCAATTCTGCATTCCTCCATAATACCTTAAAGTAAGGAGGAATGTTCCCCCTGTCCTTTACACCTCTTGACCTTTGACCTTTGACCCCTCAGTTGACATTCTGCACCGTTTTCGATTAACCCCCAACGTCCCAAATCGTGACCAGTACGTTCGACCGGTTAGATTTTGCCCAACTGTTGAGACGGACGGACGCCGACCGGACGCACGGTAACGACGATCATGCGATAAACAAGCGCACTGACTATGTCAGAGCAATTAGACGCCACTTTGCGCCCACTACAATTAAACGCGAGAGGTGACTGAATTGAAAAAAATCACCTAGGTCTCGACCAATCAGCGCCCGCATGGATTCCGATAAAACTCGGCGATGATAACTAATATGGAAAATGCACAGTAACAGTAGAGCTATTCTCCTTTCAAATCCACACTCATTTGAATGCCCGTAGCGTCACGTTACCGTGGTAAGTGGTAAACACCAGAATCCTTCCTTATTAGGGAACTAGGTATCTATTGGGCACTGCTAGGGTAATGTCATACCTATCTTCGCTGCCTGCGCACGTACGTCTGCGAACCTGCTCACGCGGCAACTGGACACGCAAGGTATGGCCGCCTACGACGTCTCGCATCGGACACAGCTCATCCTCTCTAGGTTCCATGCGCAACACAGGCGAGGCAGCGACTACTGCGAGCACCGACGACTGCTCTTTCATACAACTGGCCCTGCTCACAGTGCGTACCTCTATCCTTCCTTCCCCTCCCCACTACTAGCTCAAGGTGCTGTACTCTCCCTCTCCTCTCCCTCCTCCCTACTACCGCCCACAGGTGCTGTACCTCTCTCCTTCCTTCCCCTCCCTACACACTGCTCACAGGCTACCTCTCTCCTTCCTTAACCCTCCCCTACTACTGCTCACAGTGCTGTACCTCTCTCCCTCTTTATCCCTTGCTCCCTCCCCTACTCGCTCACAGTCGCTGCACCCTCTCTCCTCCTCTCCTCCCCCCTCTCTCCGTCTCCCTCTCCTTTCTCACCTTCTCTCCACCCGACCACGCTCACAGTGCCTACCCGTCTCCTCCTTTCCCTCCCTTCTCCTCTCCCTTCTCCCTCTCTCCACCACCTTCACTGCTCGACAGGGCCGTACCTCTCTCCTCCTTTCCCTCCCCCTCTCCTCTCCCTTCCCCTCCCCTCCCTCCCCCAACTCGCTTGCACAGGTGCTGTACCCTCTCTCTTCCGCTTCATCCCTCTCCTTTCCCTCTCCTTCTCCCTCCCTCTCCCCACTTACTGGCTTCCGACAGTGCGTGTACCTCGGGCTCCTTCCTCCCTTTCCTTCCTCTCCTTCTCCCCCTCCCTTCCATACTGTCACAGGTGCTGTAACCTCTCTCCTTCCTTCCCTCCTCCCTTTTCCAACTCCCCTTCTAACCTCCCTCTCCCCCACTACTGCTCACAGGTATGCTACCGTCTCTCTTCCTTCCCTCTCCTTCTCTCTCTCCCTCCCTCTCCTCCCTCTCTCCCTGCCTACTGCTCAACCATGCGTAAATCCTGTAGTGTGGGTGTTGTTCTAACATTTGTTGTTGTTGTTGTTGTTCTAATTTGTTGTCGTTGTTGTTGTTGTTGTTGTGCGCAGGCAGAGCCACCTTCGGCGACTACGGAGACATGTCGGAGCACAAGAGCCGCTTTCGCTGCGCGCTCTGTTCGCTGTCGGACGCGAGAGAGCTGAAGCATCTACGCGCGCGTCGCAGTCCTGACCAGCACCGCGTCTACCAGTTCATGAAGCGCGGCGGTAAGAGCGTCGCAATGCTGCGTGCGGCGGTTCATGCTGCGTGCGTCCGCAGTCCTGACCAAGCACCGCAGTCACACGTTCCATGACGCGCCGGCCGGCAAAGACCAGGTCGTGCGTGCGCACCGTCCGCGCTGCGTGCGAAAGCGTGCGTAGCGTAGCGTCTAGTCCTGACCAGCACCGCTCTACATTCCATAAAACAGCCGCGCGGTAAGACGGCAGTGCTTCGTGCGTGCGTGCGTGCGTGCGTGCGTCGGCGTCGCGTCCTGACCAGCACCGCGTCTACCAGTTCATGAAGCGCGCGTAAGACGCTCGTGCGTGCGCGTGCGTGCGCCTGCGTGCGGCGTGCATGCGTGCGTGTGCCGCGTCCCGACCAGCACCGCGTCTACCAGTTCATAGAAGCCGCGGTAAGAGCGTACGTGCGTGCGTGCGTGCGTGCGTGCCGTGCGTGCACTGACTAAGGGCGGCATATCGCGTGCGATGCATGCGTGAGTCGAGCGGTGCGTAGCGCTGCGTGCGTGCTTGCATGAAAAGCGTGCATCGCTGCGTGCGTGCGTGCCGTCCGTGCGTCTGCATCGTGCGAGCTGCGTGCGTGCGTGACTAAGGCGTGCAGTGCGCCGATCCGTGCGTGGCGGCTTGCTGCGCTGCGCCGCATCCCGAGACGCGAAGCTACCGCGTCTACCAGTTCATGAAGCGCGGCGGTAAGAGCGTGCGTGCGTGCGTGCGTGCGTGCTGTTCGATGTCGTTTGCGTGCGTGTCTTTCTGCTGTATGCGACGGTCGACGCGTGCGTGCGTGCGTGCGTCGCAGTCCTGACCAGCACCGCGTCTACCAGTTCATGAAGCGCGGCGGTAAGAGCGTGCGTGCGTGTTGCGGCGGCCGCTGCAATGCGGCTGCGACGGCGCAGCATGCGTGTGTCCGCGGTCCCGACCAGCACCTAGCGTCTACCATCTCATGAAACCGCGTCAGACGGCGTGCGTGCGTGCGTGCGTGCGTGCGTGCGTGCGTCGCAGTCCCGACCAGCACCGCGTCTACCATTCAGAACCGGCGTAAGAGCTTGCGGCGTGCTGCGTGTGTGCGTGCGTGCGAGCGTGCATCTAAGGCTCATCGGCGAGCGTGCGTGCTGTGTGAGGGCGTGCGTGCGCCGCGTGTACAGTGTTGCTCAAAGTAAATGTTGTTCATCGTTTGATCCCGTCTTTCAGAGCTGCAATTCTCGAGCGTTGAGACAGCAGGCCAGACGCAAGAGTACTCGTCAACCGTGTCACCTGTACTAAGCGTTGAGAAGGTAACATGGCTGTAGCTGTATTAGTTTATTCTTTGTTTGTCTCTATATAGCTACCCACTAATGCTCTCTCCCCCCCCCCCCCCCCCCCCCCCCCCCCCTCCCCCCCCCCCCCCCCCCCCCCCCCCCCCCCCCCCCCCCCCCCCCCCCCCTCTCTTCTCTCTCTTCCTTCTCTCTTGCTCTCCTCTCACTCAATTGTTTCTCTCTCTCCCACTGTCTTTCTCTTCCTCACATTCTCTCTCTCTCTTCCTTTCTCCCATCGTCCATTCTCTGTTGCTCGCTTTCTTTCTCTCTCTTCTCTCTCTGTCTGTCTTCCTCGTTGTTAAACTGTTCCCTGTTTAACTGTTTGGTGTGTGTCGGCGTGCGTGCGTGCTGTGTTGCGTGTGTGCGTGTGTGGCTCCCTCCCTCTCGCTCTCACTCTTTAACTTTTTCCCATTTCCATATTCCTTTCATCATATCGACACAATACCGTTTAAATTCCTAACCTGTTTTCAATTTTTTCCACGTTAAGGAAACCCAATGACTGATACAACGCAGAGCACCCGCAGAGTATTGGTCCGAAACGTGGAAGGATTCTCCAGGTAGTACATATATGTTAGACCATCCTCACACGGTTCCTAATATTTCAAGCTAGTCAGTCCGCTTTGATAGCTTCGCCGAAACCTCCGGGTTTTCGTCAAATAATGAACAAATGAATGATGACGTCTGTATGTGGCATTGCCCAATATGAACCCCCACCTCCCACCTCAACGCTGGATCGTATTAACACTATTACGTACGACTAAAGGTCACGCTACATGCGCTACACCAGCGCGACCGACCAACATACTGCCATAAACGAGCAAGAGGCGCAGCAAACAGCGGATCTCGAGTCCGTTCCGGCAAAAATACCAGATTTTTACACGCTCATTAATCTCAGCGGAGGGCATCGGGGCTAAGGACAAGCGGTTCTCCTAATACCGTTGATGACTTTACTAAGTACCTACCTCTCCCTAATGATAAAAGTATCTTTCTAAAACCTATAACCTCTCACGAAATTTTAGATATTATAAACAATCTCGATACACAGAAAGCATCAGGACACGAAGATATTCCAATAAAATACATAAAGCTCTCTAAAGCACTAATATCACCTATCTTATGTGATGTATATAATGACTGCCTAACTACTGGTGAATTTCCTAACCCTCTAAAAATTGCAAAAATAATACCCATTTACAAAGCTAATTGTCCAAATATGCCCTCCAACTACCGTCCAATATCACTCTTATCACCATTCTNCCCCACACAATTGCGTGCCCCGGGCCCCCCACACGCTTAGTCCGGCCCTGCCTAACAGGGTAATGAACCGGTAGTGATTTAGTAGCGGTCACGTGTCTGTATAGAATAGTTTTTTTCTCGGAATCTGTCAAACGCAATAAAATTCGTTCCGACAAACACAGCTGCACACGGGTGCAAAATTTTTGTTTAATTCGCTGTTCGGTTTTTGAGTTTTGGCGATTTCTTCGACCTCACCCTCCCGGCTTCAAGGCGATTCCGGTGCCCGTCTGCTTTGTGGAATGCCAAGTCGGTGCATGGTTCGAGTAGTCGCTAGAGTTGAATAGAATGATTTACATTGAATAAAATTGCATTCACCTATGCGAAACTTGATATTCTATGTGATCAATAAAAAAAAAAATTTTAAAATCGCACGTCGAATACAATTTTTCGGTAATTTA